TACACCGTGGCCTAACCAGTCACGACTGCAACACGCTCTACTTCTGTTGGTCGCTTGGTTATTTTTGTGGTGTTGTGCCAGCTAGTCCCGCCCACACCGAAACCTCATTTGACCAAATTAGTGCTCAAAGATGGATGAAGAGAAACAAATCATGGAAGTTTAGAATTAGTTACTGTATGATGATCCACAGGGAAAACCATAAAGAGAGTCGGAGCTGACTGAGAAAATCATGTAGTGCATGATGGACACAGACTGATTTTTTAGCTTCAAACTCTGATTCTATTCTGTGGATCGCTATCAGACATGTTTGGTAATTGGAGCCGATTCTAGAACACATTGTTTTCATTTTCACGTGTCTCTTAGCAACGAGGCACACGTTTCTACATGAGTTTGTTTTGAAAGTCTGTTTGCATTATTTAGTTTGCGATGCACAGCTTTTGTCTGTAAACATTCATAAAGTCAGAGAGAGTGTGTGTGTGTGTGTGTGTGTGTGTGTGTGTGTGTATATGTGAGTGAGTGAGTGTGTGTGTGTGTGTGACGCCTGTGCAGTGCGTTACAAGTGTGACACAGCATTCAAACAGAGAGAAACTGTTCTGATTGGCTGTACTTTTTGTCACATCAGGCCCCATTTTCACATTGGGTGTGAACGGCCGAACTGCTCGTGTTATGCTGCATCACGCATTCGTGTGTTTGCAGCAGTGCTTCACCTCTCTTGGGAACAGAGATGAGCGTGTCACCGTCCTGCTGAGAGACTGTGATCGTCGTGTCCGGAATCTCAGCCAACAGGTCCATCAGATCACACATCCCATAATCCACCACCTGCCAGTTCCTGGAGAAACACCTGACACACACACACAGATCAGGATGAAGCAGCAATGCCTCACGCTTCAGCAGCACAGAGAGACGCCGTACTGAGATGCTCACCAGTGATACGCCTGCGTGAAGTCCCCGATCACCACCTGTTTACTGGCCTGAAACTTCAGCAACTTCAGCAGGTCTTGAGTGAAGCGTTTGATCTGAGCGCGATGGGTCAGAGTCAACAAACGCTTGGAGCCTAAACCCAGGATCTGCACTCAGACACACACACACACACACACACATACATACATACATATATATATATATACACATACATATACATATACATATATACATATACATATATATATATATATATACATATACATATATATATATATTAGGGATGGTAATTTAACACGTTAATTAGATTAATTACGGTGAAAAATAATGCGTTAAACAACACATTTATGCACTTGCCCCGCCCCAGACCCACGTGGGTCATCTGACATTGCATACAGCTGATTGATGACAAATATGATGCAGGGCAACAACTCACTGTGTGATGAGCCTCGAGAACGTAGTTGGAATGTCCCTAAAATTCAAGATATGGGGCAAAAATGCCCGTTTGAGTGTTTGTCTCATTTACATCATATAGTTAAGCAATATCACACGAGCAATATAAGCAATATCACACAAGTGCAAATACTGACCATATACAACTGTTCAGTAAGTAAGAAGTTAATATTGTGTTATTTTAGACACAATGTTGTCTGTTTTGCTCAATTTTGCCAAATAAAAATATAAAGAAAGCAGAACTGTTCGTCTCCGAGCAACACACAGCGGCATTTCATTTCTTAATGCATGTTTTGAACGAACTGGATGAACCATTTGGCGCGTTGAACCATTGGCCATAGGCGCATTGGATTTGAAGCGGCGCTGCAAAGACCGATCGGTTTATGACATTAAAGGACCGCAAGAGCGATTCAAAAGCATGCAGAGTCGTCTGCTCTCTATAGCTCTCGCGGTACTTTGATGGCACACAACGATTGATCTGATGCTGATGATCCGCTTCAAGTTGAACAAGTCTAATGATTCAATGGACCATTCATACAGAACCATTTACTTCACTCCTGAATGAATCAGCTATTTGGACGAATCAAATGAATGAACAAATGACTTGATGACTTGATCATTAAGACATTTACCACCACCTACTGGAGTATCATTTCATTAAAGAAATAATTTCATATTTCCATAGTAATAATAATAAAATTAATAAAATAAATTATTAAAGGTATAGTTCACACACCCAAAAATGACAATTGTGTCAACATTTACTCACCCTCATGGTCCAAAAGAGTACATGTAATAAATTTGATCAAACAAAATATTTCTTGCTGAAGCTACTTTCTGTAATGTCAGTTTGATGCTTTATACAACAATGACTTTAAATTATCTTTTGAGTAATTTCTCAGCCAAATTTGATGTGCGATTAAATAATCGCCACATCATGTAATTAACTGGATAAAAAATTTTAATCGCTTACCAGCCCTAATATATATATATATTTTAAAGTGGCTGAGGAATCACAGAGAATGTCAAATAGATGTTAAAACTGCGAACTGAATGAAAAGCTGTGCTTGTGTTCAGACCTGCAGCACGTGAGGAACGGCCTCCAGCAGCTCCAGCAGTTTGGAGAATCCGTAGTCGGACACACGGCACTGCTTGGCAAAATGGTGGTGATACGCTGGAATGAACTTTGTGATGGGCACCAAACAGGACGGCTGGTTCTTCATCAGATCCACCATCTCTCGGCTGAACTGGATCAGCTGTGGGTTCCCAACCGGACTCTTACTGCGCTGCAGCCACGGATCTGACAAACACACAAACACACTTAGGCTTTTTCACTTACACAGTGGTGATGGCGAGAGAACACACACACACACACACACACACACACACACACACACACACCGCCCGGCTTGATGATCTTGAAGCCGTTCTGGGCCGTTACGATAGTCACTCCAGGGATGCAGGTGATGAGGTGCTCTAACGGGACGCTTCCCTCCAGCTTCCCCTCCTCTGCAACAGCTAAAGGACTGAACTCTGCTGCATAGCATTCTGGGAAACTGTTTACATACAGAAAACAGTCACATGTGCAAGACATTAACGGACCAATGAAATACAGTGGGTTTAGAAGAGAATCAGCCCCCTTTCAAATAATCACATTGTGTTGCTTTGCAGCCTGAAATGAAGAGGGACACAGTTTTTGTTTTATCCAGCTGTAATTACCCCGTGCAATTTATAACATCCAAGTGAAAGATAAAACACCAACATGTCAGAAAAAAAAACAAGTAAAAAATAATAAAACAGAATCTGATTCTTTTCTATACCCACTGAAACCACGTTTGTGTTTGTGTCTGTATGTATGTGTGTGTGTGAGCGAGAGAGAGCGTGCGTGCGTGTGTGAGCGAGAGAGTGAGCGTGCGTGAGCGAGAGAGTGAGCGTGCGTGCGTGTGAGCGTGCGTGTGAGCGAGAGAGTGAGCGTGCGTGCGTGCGCGAAGCGCGAGAGAGTGAGAGTGCGTGCGTGCGCGGCGAGAGAGTGAGCGTGCGTGCGTGCGCGAGCGAGAGAGTGAGCGTGCGTGCG